TGGCGGGTGCATTCTGGTTCCCTCTCTGGTTCCCTTGTAGCCACCTCCTCCAGCCTGCAACTCTAGCTTAATCCGCCCACAGTTCATTTCGACACTGTCACCGAGGGGAGGTAGCTGGAGCGCTCTGTCCAGGAGCCGTGAGGGTCTGCTGAGTTAATGCTGCAGTTGGCTGGGTTCCCCCTGGCTGCTTTGGCCCTGGCTTTGCTAAATCATTTAATGAGCACCACTGTGGGCCAAGCAAAGCCGGCAGGCAGCGGCCCAGGCCCCTCTTGGATCCCCACAGGTCTGGCTCACGTGCCTCACAAGAATGCACAGCCAGGCACTTCGCTCGGAAGGCCCAGTTGCTATGGGAACAGTATGCAATATTTTCTGCTTTCTAAATGGAAGCCCCCAAGTGCCTGTGGTAACTGTTCCACGTGGGGGCTGCATTTTCCTGGGTCTCTAGCCTGACAGATGAAGTGGCTTGGGGGTTCCCAAAGCTGGCGCTGGGCAGGCAGGGATCCCAAGGGGCGAGGCCCCAGGTTCTGGCCCAGCTGACTGCACGCCCCAGAGGCCTCCGTCCGGCTGCTGGTGCGCAGTGCCTGGGGCCTGCGAATGTGCCAGGGCTTTGGAATTCGAACCTTGGTCCTGACGGTGTAGCGCGGGGCTCAGGAAGCAATGGCAGCATTGGGGCAGGATTCGGGGGCCCTCCCTCCTGTGTGGGGCCCTTTTGCCTGGAAGCAGGGACATCTGTGGTTTCCCATCTGCCTCATGAGGGTTTCTGGTTCTGATTTTCTTCCAGCTGCTGCTCGGCCATGGTGCTTCTGGGGTTTGGCCCCGCAGGCTGAAGGAGTGTGGGATGGGAAGGGGAGCAGGGTGTGAGCCCCGGTGTGTCAGTAGAGGCAGGAGAGGGGGCCATTTGTCCACCACACATCTAGGGAAGGTGGGGGATCCCCAACCTTCAGTGACCCCTACAGAGACGTGAGGACACAGGGCGGCGTCAGGGATCCTGGCTGTGTCCTCAGGCACATTAGCCACCCCTCACAGTCTGCGGTGGCCACGGAAGCCGCCTCCCTCCTCTGTCCTCTCTGGCCTCCTCGCTCCCCTCCCTCTGCGGCTGTGCTGGCCCCTTAGAACACCAGGCCTAGCTGGTGCTGTAACGCTGGTAGGAGGCCTCACCTGATCAGGTTCTTCCTTCATGGAGCTGGCCTGTGGGCTATGGCTGGTTGTAGCCCACTGGCTGTTCTGTTGCTTTTTAAGCAGTTTTCACAGGCTTCTCTGTTTCCTGAACAAGGAGACTAGGCCTGACCCCAGCAGCCTCAAAGCTGTCGTGGTGGTGGCCGAACGGTGGTGGCCTAAGGAGTAAAAGTCACTCGGCTGATAAAAAATCTGTAACCAGCACCGAGGGCTTTGAGGCTCTTTGTCTTCTTTAATTCGGACAAAAGCCCCCTCAGGACAAAACACAGGAGGGAGGGGCAGTGTGCCCCATGCTGGGGCTCAGGCCCTTTCAAAGCTGCATCCCACTAAATACAAGTGTGGGTCCAGAGGGCAAGAGTCTCAGCTGGTACAGTCAACCTGTCCTGCCTTCTGGGTCCTTAGGACCATGCACGACAGCTGCCCCCCCCCAATCTTGTTCCTAGTGAGATGGCAGCAGAGCTTGGCCCTTGGGTCACCCTGTCCTGTGCTGCTCCTGGGAGCCCACTGGAAAATCAAAGCCATTGTAGCCCCCACCTCCTCCAGGTGGCAGCTGTCTCTCAGGGCCATGTGAGCAGTGATCAAGTGTGCTGTCACCCTGGTTAGAGCCCCAGGGTGCTGAGGAGATGACAGCCAGGTGGGTGGTCTCATAAACTTGCTCAATCCCAGGACCC